CATACAGCTGACCTGCAACATGCTTTTTCCAGGGGCCATAAAAATAGTATTGACTTTAAAAAAAAACCATTGTCTTTATGTCCTATTCCCACAACTTAAACACCTAATGACCAGATTTGTTGGATGTTGAGCAGTGTACTATTTAATTCATCAGCAATATACAGTATTGGCAGCTACTACATTAGTCGGGGAATATTTACTGTATCTGACATGTCTTCAGAAAGATTGATAGCAAGAGGTTTGACGTAGCCACTTCTCACATATCTTTCTTTCATTTTTTTTTCAGCTGTACAATACGCCTGTAGAATGGCAAGATATATGTGCAACTGTCAAGTAAAAAATGTGACAAAACGTATTTGTGAAGATCTGGAACTTTTTGGAGCTTCTCATGGGTGCACCATGCACTAATTTTTTTACCTGCTGTGCAAGGACCTGACAAAGGCAGAGTGAAAGGAAGATCCACCAAACGCAGCCTTGAGAGCCTTGCCAATCCAAAGGCTAGCTATTCCTACTCTCTATCTTTCTGGGTTATCTTTTTACGTGTAGGAACAAAAAAAACACACGGAAAAGCTGGTCCGTCACTGTTGAGGAAATGGCAAAATAATTTCCTTTATTTAATTATGAATGTCTGGGGATGGAACCACAGAAGTTGGGGGTGGGGAGGTGGAGTTCCTGCCAACAGAAAGTTATCCTGCCTTGCAAGGGAAATATGGCAAACCTATCGTTTCAGTGTTTGTTCTTGAGTGGAAATTAAGCTGAATAACTTTAAGAATTAATCAGGCCATTGGGTTCTAAAAGGTCTACACTGTGTCGTGAGGACAGAAAAGAACAGTACTAGCCATCTTGGATATAGAAGGTCTCAAATATAGTTGAGATGGACTTTCAGTCTAATCATTGACAAAACAGTCCTTCTGTTTATCTTGGAGGATGCACAAACCCAAATAACTGAGAAATCTAAAATCCTCTTGGTGAAAATCCAGAAGAGGGAGAAGACCCTTCTTCCCCCTTCCCTCTGGGAGGGAAAAGAGAAATAGTTTACACTATCTCCACGGCTAGTATAATGTCCTTTCCAAGGCTATCTGGCTATCCCCTGATGGAGGCTGAATGATGAACTAGATGGACTGTTGGAATGAATGAACACAACAATACTACTTTCTTTTTCTCCCTCCCTCCCTCCCTGCCTCCCTCCCCATCTCAATCTTTCTCTCATAAGTCAGTGGGAAGACAGCCAATAGAAGTTTGGCTTGGACTTTCAAATTGTGATGTTTGGAAGAAGTACATTCTGACTGGGCCATTTCATAATTGCAGAAATCCCCATGTTCACAAAAGAAATTCCAGGAAAAATTCATGATTCCTTGTCCCCCCTTGACCCCCCCCCCCCCCCCACAATGATTGGCTTCTGATGACCTGATTAAGTAACTCTCAAATCACTGATTTAATATTTGTCCCATTAAAGTCCTGGGGAGAGAATTCCAGCCAAACTTTTAGACCTCCCTTACAAAAGGGAGACTAACGTAACTCAAGCTTGTATTTGGTTGCACTCTGGAGACGAGGAGAATTGGAGCTGCAGAAAGCCCACCAACAGAGAATCATAAATTATTCATCAGCAGCCATTTTATGTACACAACTTACAATTGGAGCAATGCATTTCATCAAGCAAATATGTAAGTTCACTTCAAACTGCAGTCAACTAATGACACATATATTTCTCAGTTAAATAGCAATGGCCTTGGTGGTCTACAGTTGAGGCAAAGCACAAAGAATTTTCGCTCTTCAAGAAGCCACACTGTCTAGTTAAGTGAACTATAGAAGAAACTAATGTCAGTTTTACCAGGCAGGAAACCTGGCCAGATAAAGTAATGCTACTTTATTGTAAAGCTACATTAATAGAATGTTGCAAGTCTAAAAGCACAGTTCTCTCATTCTCACCTTTGCAGTCTGAGAACTTAGGGGGAGGTCCTTCTGAAACTCTTGCTCCGCCCACTATGCAAATGTTGGCTGTGCTACCTCTTATCCTATTGTTCTCTCAGTATCATTTCTTCTTTCTGTCTCCCAGTCATTCCCACCTATCATTACAGTTAATAAAAAGAGTATACAATTTGCTTGTCCTCTCAGAAAATTACCACTTTGATATAGAAGGAAGTTCAACTGATATCAAGAAATAGAGGAAAATTGTTCCTTGTTAAGGAAAATTTACTACTAAGGTAAGACTACCCCAGAATAATTACAGAACCATTCTAATAAAGACAAATAAAGTTATAACAAGCAATAGACCAGCCAGCAAATGAAATTTCCATATAACTGTTTAAGTTGCCAAAGAAGAGACAATTGAAGGGCTAATAGTTGTACATCAACAACTGGAAATAGCTGTATAACAATAAATATGAAACAGGATTGTATTTCCCAGAAACTAGAAAAAACTGGTAAATGCTGTATCTCTTTGCCAAAGAATGGAAAAGCAAGAGAATACTGAATGCAGATTTATCAGTTGATCTCATACAGTGCTTGTCTTCTACAAAGTTTTGCTTCAGATCTTTCACAGAACAGATGAACAAGCAGTATTTATTAAAGGCAGAAGAATGAGATCAGAAAGCTAACTTAAGAGAACATTTGAGAAGGTTAATTCAAGAATTACCTTTGTTTTCTTGATCAAAAGGGCTTTTATTCTGTGGATCACAACAGAATGTGGAATTAATTACAATTAATGCTTCTGCCAGAATACCTAATCATTCTTCTGAAGAATATTTTCAATAATCAAGAAATTATTATTAAAAACTGAGTTTGAAGAAATAGAGAAATTCAAAAAACAAAAAGGAGTGAAGCAGGAATTCACACTGTTAGTGGGAAAAAGAACTGAACATAGAAATATTAATCATTTCAGAGAGGCAGAGACTGTATCATTACTTAAATGAAAGTAAATATGACTTAGAAGAGGTTGTTTTGAAAGTAAAAAGTGGAAGTGAAAATTCTGTTTTCATTTTAAATAGTTAAAAGATATCGTTGACCAATATGTTTACCGAGCTTACAGTTCACAACAAAGACATTAAGATGGTACATCATTTTGTTTCTTAGGTTCAAGAATAGATAGATGAATCACATGCTGGAAAAATAAAGAGAATTTTTAATGACAATTTTAGAAAGCATTACAAAGGTTAAAGATGCTTCTGTGACAGCAGGGATCAGAACAGTTAAGCAGAGGCATTGCATAGCTGTGAAAGACTGACATTTGGAAAATATAAAAAGAGTGACAGTTTATATTAGAATAATGGATCTGGAGGTACAGTAGTTTACTAAGAGTACTACAGTCTGAAAGAACAAACTAATTCAATTATGGACTAAATAAAAATTGATTGCCCCCATGAAGTAATGATACCGAAGCAGAAACTTAAAAACATTGATCACTTGATATGAATGAACTTTGAAAATAAACTAGAAAAATCTTGGAGCTATGGTGTTTGAGAACCATATACAGTTTATGACCTTAAAGTTGGATGAAGAATTCAAGTTGATGCTGATGCACTGATGATGTTATGTATTATTATTTTTGCTTAGTTTGCCTCCCATCTCGCTTTGAATCAACTCTGGACAGCTTGCAACATTTAAATATTACCTAGTAATGAAATGTCTGTAAGAAAACAACCAAGCTCAGAGACCACCAAGGAGGCCACAGCTCAAACTTCATTCAACAAGAGGCTAAGGTTTGATGGTGAAGACTGACCCTCTAAACTGCACGGAGGGAAAATTCTCAAAGGACTGAGCCCTCAGCTGGAGGATGTGGTGGGAGAGAGAGGTGACATGAGGCTGCAGATTGAATAAAATGGTCAATTTGGACAGGGGGTTTTAGGAGGATAAATATGGGGCTAGTTATAAAAGCTACCAAATAGCCAAGTCATCACACAGTGGTGAGATGCTATAGATGGGTAAAGGGAGATAGCCCAGGCTTGGCAGAAGCCAGCGAGGGTGCAGGAAGTTGAGGAACAGTGAAAGGAAAATGACATAATTGGGCTTGACCATTTCAGAGGAAGAGACAAGCAATTTACTATCCCACTTCTTGTCCTAATGCCTCATTCTGTGGTGCTAGATGCTGAATTGTTGGCGCCCTTAGCCTCAGATTGATCTGCTCAACAACAGCTGTCTGCTCTCCTCCATGATCTAACTGGTATATGTGAGCAGGGGAGGCCGATCTGGAATATATTATTGAGACCTGCCTGGGTATGGAAGAGATTCCTTGTCAACAATTTGTCCAACTTAAGATTTAGGCGCTGCAGTGACTCTGAGGCCAAAGAGGTGATCGGTCTTCCAGGAAACTTGAGTAGTAACCACACAACCCTGCATTTGAAGCTGGGTATTAGATCAAGCCCACAGGGGCTCTGGTGTTCTGGAAAATGTAAAATGAAAAACAAAAAAACAAGAGCATGGGACTAAAGATTCAGGGGGGGAGGTTTTTTGAAAGAAAAGTCTAAAGTGCACCCAACCACCACTCAACTTGATAAATCTTGATAGGTGAAATTACAAGTTCATACCTAACCACTTCCAAATAGGGTTGGCAAAGATTCCAGTCTGAAACCCCTAGGGGGATTTGGCTGATCAGGAAACATGGAACATAGGTCAACAGTATGCTTGGCTACAAATCTGCTTCCTATGATTTATATTACATCTTAAGTGCAATTGTATCTCACAAAATTTGAGTAATCTTTCTTAATCAAGCAGCACATTCCTTCACAGGCAATCACTGAGAAGCAGCATAGTAGTTGGGATCTGAGGCAAAAAATGAGCGGGAATTCCCAACACTGCCCCAATGGATCCACCAATACTTTGAAATAAACTTAGCAATCGAAGCATTTGATCTGTTAGTTGCAAATCACTTTGTAGAGTGTGACTCACACCTACCAATACCAACAACATGGCAAATGACTAAATGAACATACGGCCAAGAAAGTGCACAAAACCAAATTATAAATTACCCTTTTTATTGAATATCAATAAATTGTATATAATTATATATAAAAAGTATTTTTTTAATTCAGTATAAAATTGTGGCACAAAAATATATAAATACCAGTGTACCTTTGAAATGTAAACATACCCTTTTTTTCATCTTTTGTTGTTGAGGATGTGGAAACAATGTACAAAAGAAATGCATTCAGGAGGCACCTGTCAATAACCTTAAGTAGCTCTTTTGGCACACACCTGTCAATGGGGCAGCCTTCCCTGCCCAGGCGGCTATTGAATCGCCTGACAAGTGCCTGCTATTAGTCACAGTTCTTTTGAAAAAAGCAGTTGTTAAAAGAAGTCGTATTAACAGGTGCTTGAGTGCATAGCTGCTCTTGTAAATAGGAGCCTTGCTTTGAATGGCTACCCAGTGCTTTCTGCAGACATAAGTCTTTGAAGCATTACGAATTATCCCTCTGCTGACCCAGAACTAATGAAATACTGTATCCCTGCATAGCTGCACTAAGGAGGGTGCAGACGAGATATGAGGAGGAGCAACTGAGAGTTTCAGATGGTGGGGAGGCGTTAACACTTAGCTTTCTGCCCTTTGTTTAGAGGCATATCAATTCAGGGTCATGGGTTACTGTGAATCTATTATTCTAGTCATCTTTTTAAGGGTAAAAAACGAAAAACTGAACGTTCAGGCAAGGTAGGCACGAGACTCGGAATATTTTTCCCATTTGTGAATGCTATTAACTCAGATGGCTTTGAAGAAGCTGGAGAAAAATCTGAAGGGGGGGGGAGGACTCGGTGGCTGTTAGAAAGGAAAGCTGGCATGATTAGTGGCAGTAAACCTTGAGAACCAAATGGGAGGGGGGGGAGCAGAAAGAGGTAATCATTATCCCTATAATCTGCCTACAAGTTCCAGAAGGATGTATCTGATCCCAGCTGAGGAGCAGCTCAACAAAATGTTTTTAGCTACATGTCAATTTTGGGAGAACCTGTTCCCATATTGGTACCCTGCAGAACGTGGGCTCTAACATACTGAATTCATTCCCTGGCAAAAAAATAATAATCCACATTTCTAAAAATTGTGGGGACATTTATCCAACCCATGGGAGAGTACCAGGTTTTAGAAGCTCATTTTAAATTATCATCCCTTGTTAGTTTGGCAACCCAGCATATTTCTGATGAAGCAATGATTGTGCATGGCCTTGAATCAAGAAGCATTCTGCCACCTCAAGGGCCAGGGAATGGAATACAAAGGCAAATTAAGCTTGAAAAATTTTCTTGAAGACAGAGAATGAAAGAAGCATTGTGTATGATGCTTTAAGGCCTGAAGCAGCTGGAAACAACCAGGTTTCAATATAAGCTTGTTTTGTGGCAGCTCAGCAGAACTATTTTCCTAGGGACACTAGTTACAATACATGGCTTTGCACGGAGGAGTCCATGGTATTCAACGGGTTCCAATGCAGCCCGTTTCTTCGTGTTTGTGGAGCAAGGACATGCGAGAGAAAGTCCGAGAGCAAGTTTTACACTGGTACTTCTTCACATCTGAATGGGTCTGCAGATGAGCACGGAGATTGGAGCGGTCAGCAAAGGCACGGCTACAGTGTGTGCAGGAAAATGGCTTTTCCCCTAGAAAGATAAAAGGAGAAAAAGGATCATCAGATGGAATCTTGACAAAACACGTGATAGAAGTCAAAAATCAGCCCCCTGATGCTTTGTATCAGGGGTCTCCAACCTTAGCAACTTTAGGCCTGGAGGACTTCAACTCCCAGAATTCCCCAGCCAGCTGGAGAATTCTGGGAGTTGAAGTTCACCAGGCTTAAAGTTGCCAAGGTTGGAGACCCCTGCTTCATATCACATTCCCAATCTTTCACTACTAGTAAGAGACATGTTTATGGAAAACCAAGATTTAACCCAGGTTTAAGAAAATCTCTAGAACACAATTCATAGTTTGGAAATAAATTCTGCTGGAATCACCAAATATATAAATGGTTTTGTATTTGCCCAGATTTAAATCAGGCAGATGCTGGATTCCAAATTAAAGGGTTAAAAACCAAATCTCCTTAGGCTCCCTTTTTCAAAGGACAAAAAGCAAGGCCTGAATTTTGAGTCTGGATTGTGCTTGTCAAGGGCGTCCTTGAAAAACTAAGAAAAGTAGTCAGTTCTTGGGCGGGAGACCACCAAGTAATTCCTATACTAGGTTGTGAGTTAAATCTTCTTCCCTTCCCAAATTCTTGGCAAAATAATATGTCCAAGTTATTAACAAAATCCAGCTGGCATCAGGGAGATTTTATTTTATTCTAATGGAACTTGGATCAAATGAGCATGCAAGAAACTCCCAGATCTTATTTATCTGGAGAATAACATTCTTGGATAAGAGAAGTGCTTGTTTTAAGAATACATGTACTGCATTGGTCTATTTTAACAAAGAGCTCATTGCATGGTACAAAATGCCCTCTTCTGCCAATTTAGTGCAGCAAAAGCTGAAACATTAACCGTATCCCCATTCCAAAACTATATCCTTCCCAGGTTTTCCTCCTTGTCTCCTTTCTTTCCTCCCCTCCCTCCCTCCCCCCCTCTTCAAGCCTCAACCAACTAAAGTTGAATTCCTGACCAGGGAAAATTCTTCTGGAGCTCACTTAACAGGCTGCTGGATTTGGAAAGCACAATTAAGTCTTTCTGGCTTCCTTCAGGCAGTCATTTTTAGGACTTTTAAAAGGGTGTGAAATCAGCACTAAGTAACAATTAAAGGATTCTTCCCCCCCCTCCACCCACCCAACACAAAAGCTGCTTGGGGGGAAAAGCATTGTAAATGTGATACTCCTTGGATTAAACACTCAAAAAGCCGCAGCTGTGGAATCTGGTGTTCAGCCTGGGGCGTTACAGTAACAGGTGCAGGGAGGGAAAAGCAAACCCAGCTCCCTAAGAGCACCTGCCAAGGCTGCTCTCTGGCGTCCCAAGAACCCTTCCCCACCATTTCCACGGTCCCATTAGGCAAACAATGCTGGAATGAAGCATCTCCCACCACCACTTTTTGTGTGTGCTCAGAAGCCAACTTTATAACTGCTTGCACCAGGGAAGGCCTCAAGATATTTGAGGGAGCTTTCAGGGGGCTTACATATAGGAAAAATGAGGAAGTAGGCTATTCCCCCACCCACCCCTGCAAATGTATGGCCCCTGCTTAGCACCTTTTATATACTTAGATAAGAAGGTGGGGGGGAGGGAGAAAATAGGAAATACCTTGCAGAGTGTTAAAATGCAAATACAGGCAAGGAAATTAGAGAGAAGGGCTTGGGCACTGGCTGCCCTGCATTAAGACTGCAATGCTCACAAGCCCTTTCAATACAATATCACACCCCCCCTCACACACACACTTTTGTGTGTTCTTGGAATGACTCAAGGCTGATTCACATAGAGTGCCTGCTGAGCTGGCTTCAGGGCGTCTCTGTCCAAACTAAATAGGCATGATGATATGGCTGTGGAATCACTTCCCCGGAACACTCCAGAATTTATGTAAACTAACAAAACAATGCAAAAAGGATGGGAATAATAACCAGGTAGCTGCTTTAGGATGGCCGTATTTACAGGAATACCAACTGAATCAACTCAATTTTCTTAATGTTCTTACAGAACATCTAGGACCATCATCTAATCACATGGCCTGCATTCACACAACATGCTGGAATGATGGCTAATTTTTGGATCAATGTGTTGACCTCTGGTTAGAAAGATGGGATAAAAACCAAGTAATAAAGATACTGAAAAAAATGCCACCAGCTTATAAACATAAATCTAGATTTGCTTACAAAGAGATCCTAGGTTTGCAGGATCCCCTTTATCCACGGTTATGTAGACTTAAGCCACATATTAAACTCTAAATTAATTGAATTGTTATACACTGTGCTACAATAGGGTTGGCCAAGTTTGGGGTTCTCAGTGTGTTCTTGGAAACATAACCAGTCAATACAAAAAGGGAGTCCAAAATCAATTAAGTCCAGAGGTTCGGCAAGTATTAAGCTCAAACAAGGCAGATTTCAGGCAAATCTGTTTTTAAAAGGTCTTAATTAAGACAGCAATTTCAACCACCACCCCCAAACACCCTATGGAGACCCTTATCTCCTCTGATAAGCTACAGGCAAGTGTTGACGTGAATTAGGTTACAAGCAAGGTAGAGAGGACTGGGGCTAGAAAAAAGATAAGAGGAAGATAACAAGGACCAGAGACACAAACAGAAGAATTCAAGCTTTACCAGTGTGCGTTCTGATGTGGCCCTGCAGGAGCCATGGCCTTGAGAATGCTTTGCCGCAGATCTTGCACACACAGGGCAAGGTATGGCTTCGGATGTGCATCTTGAGAGCCCCCAAGCTCACATATTCCTTTTCGCAATATTTACAGCTGAAAGATTTCCTGGTCTGGGAATCGCAGTGCAACTGTCTGTGTTTGGAAAGGCCAGCAAAAGTTGAGTAGGACTTGCTGCATTGGCTGCAGTGGAACTTCTCGGCTTCCGTGGCAGAGGAGGCTGGGCTGGGCGGGTCAGAGCTGGTCTTGCCATCCTCCTCTTCGCTGGACAAGGAGGTCAGGTCCAGGGGTTTGGAATCGGGGCTGGGTGGAGAATCTGGGCTTTTCTTGTACTCCGGTTCCGGGTTGAAGAAGTTAGAGAACAGCCCAGTCTCCCAGACTAAAGGAGGATAGTAAGAGCCAGTGCTCAAGAGGTCTGGTTGAGGGATGACAGACAAGGGACGCTTGTCGTACAAAAACGGAGAGACGATCACTGTAAAAAAAAAAAAAAGGAGACCAAAAGCAATGTTAGAAAAAAAAATCCTGCAGAACTGAACACAACCCTACCTTCTTATTGAGATCTGTCGGTTTTGGCATGCTCAGGTTTTCTGGGCATATGCAAAGGGCCCGAAATCTGATGGAACAAAATCTTAAGCATCCTTTGGGTTGGAATTAGCCACAGAGGGAGGTCAAAATAGCAAAACCCTATACTTCTTGGAAGGACAGAGAGCTTCCCCGGCTTCTTCAAGGCCAGGTTTTTAAAGGAGTCCGTGGCAAAGGCTGATGGGACTTGGGAGTTCTGCATTTCCAAGCAGCTGGCTTAGAAAGCATTCCGTTGCAGAGCTCTTCGGAAGGAAGGGCCGCCGAGTTCAAAGGGATTTAGTCCCAATTTACTACTTGTGCGAGCTTGCTCCGCGGTCTCCGGGCGAGCCCGACTGGATGGCACCTAACTCACCTAAAACCAGGATTTACTTCTTCCCTAATTGCTAGTTTACTATCCGCCGCTCCGCGTCTTCCGCAAGGCGACGATCCACATGTTCCTCCTGCCAAGTTATTAGCGGGAAACTTTCAGCCCGAGGCGCTGCGTTGAATCCGGCACCCACCCACGACAGTCCCTGTGACGGGCCGTTTTGAGTCGGCCAGAGTCCTCTCCCCCCTCCGCCGCCCCCCAAGCACCGCCAGAGCCCCCGCCACCCTCCCTCTCTCTTCCCAAGCGGCAGCGCCTACCCGTTTGGCTTTCCAATTCGCTGTAATTGGGCTTCTTGCTGGCCGAAAAGTGTTTCTTGACGAGGAAGGAGCGAGGCATCTTTCCGGGCGGCGCGGCTCCGATGCAAAGGCTACTGCGGAAAAGACCCCACTGCAGTCGCGCCGCTCGCCGCCGCCGCCGCTGCTGCTTCTCCTTTCCCAAATAAACCCGGATCCTCCCTGCGCCGCTCTCCAGGCCGCCGCGATGCAAGCAATTGGAGCGGCTCAGCCACGAGCTTAATAGGGGCCGGACGGCAGGTGGGCGAGGCCGATCCGCCTCCCCTCCCCCCCGTGTCACTTGGCAGCCAATCGACAAAGGCGGGGAGGGGTCCAGCTGCGAGCCTCTTCCAGCAGGTGCTCCGCAAACAAAACCTATCGGCGAGGCTGAGGGCTCGTCTGAGGGGCCAGACCTCTCCACAAAAGCTTGCCGGGGCCCGGGGGAGGGGGGAGCCACGCCTGAAGGCCTGGCCACGTATAACCTTCCTTCGGAGCGGGGATAAGAAGACCCCCGTCTGTGGGTCGGGTTGCCTCACGAAAGTGAGGGCACTTTCCTGGCTTTGAAAGGCAGCTCTCTCCTCAGCGGGACGGAAACTCGTCCACGCCACCCCAAAGAGGTTGGGGTTGTGTGTGTGTGTTAGAATCAGTGTTAAGTGTTGCATCCTCCCAACCCCTCCGCGAGGTCTACCACTACGTGTCTTAAAAACCATCCCTGTTTGAGCGACTTGAGTTCACGTGTGTCAATTCCGCGGTTCGCGCTTTCTTTTGGAACGCAGCCCGCTCGGTTCAAGGAGGTTCCCTGATCTAAACACGTGGAGCGCTCGTAACTTTACTCAACCCGGCGCTTTCCGACTGCGTTGGACTACTAACTCCCCTTATCCCCGCCCTGCCTTGGGCTGCACTGCCTTTCCCGCCCCGACACCCAAACGCTTGCAAGTGTTATGAAAACTAAAAGTACAAGGAATCGACCCCCTTCCCACCCACACAAACCCAAGCCTTCATCCGCTCAAGTCTCCTGGGAGGCACCGTCCCGCGATCGCCACCCTTATTTCGGGAGCCTCCGGAGGGAGCGGGGTGTGTGTGTGCGTGCGTGCCGAAATATGCGTGGCAATCATGGGACCGAAATTGCTACCTTTCCCGACGCGTTTTCGGGGGGAATGGAAGGAGTGGGTCCTGCTCTCCTCCAAGTTAAGAAGAGAGGTGTTTGAAATGCTGGGTCAGCATTTACTTCCAGAGGAGGAGCACCGCGGAGCGAAATCGCCGCCTCGATTCCCTAGAGAGGAGAAGTGACGGCGCGCCACCCGCGATCTCTTTCGAAAGGCGATCCCGCAAGCATGTGCCGCGGTTGCCCGAAGCGGGAACCGCCCGCCGAGCGTCTGTCTTCCTGCAGGGAAATCCGCAAACCGTTTATTCTCTCCATGCCTTCCTTCTACACACACACACACACACACACATCCCGGGGCCACAACGGTCTTCCGTGCCATCCCTTGGGAATTGCGGACACGCGGGGTGGGCTTCCATTTCCTGGGCGGCCGGACGAGCGAATCTCGGCGAGATTGTTCTCCTCAATCCCGCAGATGCTTTGGGTCGATTCTTGCTTTAAGTACAGTAAGGAATCTCAAGGCTGATTATTCAACAGGTGTTGCAGACGCTTGTAAGTTAAGTTAGGGTCTAAATCCAGCCGCAGTAACTAACCCGGCTCCCTTTCTCCAGCTAGGTTCTGGCTTGATGTATATTGGGAAGTCTGACACATGATTCCTCATCAGTGAGGCACAAAATATTGGAAAGTCTGACACATCTGTGGGAAAAACCCCTGAACAAAATGCTTGCCTTTCTCTAGAAAAAGGGTATATATATAATGATTGGTGATTTTGGGGGGCTTTATTAGTGTCTGCTGTTGGTATACAGAAATTAAAGTACACATATAGAAACGATTTAATGGCTTAATTTAATGGATTTAATAGGCACCCAGGAGCACTGAGTAAACGAAGCCTTGTTAGAATGTCTTCATTTGGCTCTCCACAAGGCCTTGAGCGCCCTCTGGGATCCCTTCAGCAAAACTCCCAAATCACTGTCAGAAGTGAAACATTCAGCAGAATTAAAACACTTATATTAAGCCCACCAGGTACCAGAACCTAAGGCAGGATCACAGTCTCAACCAGTTTGCTTTGGACTTCTAGTGACATCAACTGTAATATTCTTCATGTTGGCTAATTTTGCCCTGCCACCATTCCTTCCCTAAATGCAGTATGCAGAAGATTTCAGGATTAAAACTCTGCTAATGGTGTATTTCCTGTTCAGAGTGTTCAAGCTGATACACTGATTTGGATTCTTGATGACCAAATGGTCTTTTCCACCTTTAACATGCCATGATCATCCAGGTACTAAAATTGTTTCCCCATCTCCTTTTGTCCCCTGGTATCAGTGAAGATAGTTATTAAAATGACAATGGGGGGTGGAAACTGGAGGTCAGTTTAACAGGTGGCACTAAGGTTATATTAAATAGCCCAAGTTGCAAACCAAATTCAGTTTGTAAACTGAGATTTCAAACAAGCCAAGATATGCAATGAAATGCAAAGATCTCAAATTATGCTATTGATAAGCACATGAGATAACCTGCTGAGACAAGTGAAATACAGTTTTAGTAGTTGCAGCTTCCCTCTTCTGAGATCTTATCCTATAAAACCTCAGAAGGGGAAAAAAGGATTAGACAAATTATTTGAGATTAAGATCACCTAGAAAGGTGTAAATGGCTTGTGCAAATTAAGGGACTGCTATTGTTAACAGAACATAGGTTAATTAGATTATTTTAAATGTAATCAAGTAACAAACTTGTAAATGGATGATGTCCACCTGAGAAGTTGCAATAGCATTACTTACCTTAGAAGAGGAAATGTAGATAAAATTATATCTGAACAAAGGAAAATGAATCTTTCAAGACATTCACAATTAGTTCCTCTAAGGTATAGTTATACACTATATAGTTCATAATTCTTTGGAAGAAATGTTTTGGACTTAGTCCTATACATGTTTATAAGATAATAAATCCTATTGAATAGACATGGATAAAATTGCATAAAAACACCTATCACAGTCTTTGGTTTAATAACCTCTAAGCATATTTGGATATATCATACTTTCAATATGGGTGATGCATGTTGAGACATTAAAATGATTAAAGTGAGAAGCAGTTTAGTTTAATGAACCTATCTTCCAGCATCATTCATTAAAGCAAAAAAGGAAACAGTAATAATGATACAAGACCTTTATTAAACTATTCTACATGGAACTAGAAAGGGTTTTGATTTCATCAAAAATATTAATCAGAATCAGTACAAAGCAAAAGAGACTAAAATGAGGTATTGCATCCAAAACTGAAAAATATAAACCTGCATCTTATTTATTTATTTTATTTATTTATTTATTTGATTTGCCAATTGTTTACAAGATAAGTATAAGTGTATACATAGTTGTGAATACATGAAATGGGTACATATAAGAAAAATAAAAGAAGAATAAGAGAAACAATAGGACAGGGACGGTAGGCACGTTGGTGCGCTTATGCACGCCCCCTACAGACCTCTTAGGAAAGGGGTGAGGTCAATAGTAGACAGTCTAAGGTTAAAGTTTTTGGGGTTTGGGGAAGAAACTACAGAGTCGGGTAGAGTATTCCAGACATTGACCACTCTATTGCTGAAGTCATATTTCCTGCAATCAAGTTTGGTGCGGTTAACATTGAGTTTGTATCTATTGTGTGCTCTTGTGTTGTTATGGTTGAAGCTGAAGTATTCATTGACAGGTAGGACATTGCAATGTATGATTTTATATACCATGCTTAAATTAGACCGAAGACGGCGTAGTTCAAGGTTTTCTAGTTCTAGAATTTCAAGTCTGGTGGCATAAGGTATTCTACAATGAGTAGAGGAGTGGAGAACTCTTCTTGTGAAATATTTCTGGACTTTCTCAATTGTGCTAATATCAGATACGTAATGTGGGTTCCAGACTGATGAACTGTATTTGAGTATTGGTCTAGCAAATGTTTTGTATGCTCTGGTTAGTAGTGTGATATTACCAGAGAAAAAGCTACGTAGAATTAGGTTAACAACTCTTAATGCCTTTTTGGCTATGTAGTTGCAGTGGGCTCTAGCACTTAGATCATTAGAGGTGAGTATTCCAAGGTCCTTTACAGAGCTTGGGTCATCAACAAGATCTTGACTATTCAGCTTGTATTTTATTTTCTGATTTTTTTTGCCAATATGTAAGACAGAGCATTTATTTGTTGAGATTTGAAGTTGCCATTTGTTTGACCATTCTGATACATTCTGATAGTTATTGTTATCTTACAATAACTTGGTTCACATGTCACACACTAAGCCATAATGTGACTTACTTAACCTGCTGCATGCAGTACCTGGTTGTGACTTATTAAGTCATGGTTAAGCAAAAGTTTGTCAGCAGGGTTTACTCTCGGGCAAGAAAGAAAAAAATGCTTCCTAAACAAAATGTCTACCCTAGAAAAAAAGTATGTTTTTTTCCCAATGGTACGTGCACAGAATTAATGTTACTAAAGTTACTAAAATAACTTTGGGGTTTTCACATTAATCAAAGAAATACTAGGGATGATTCAAATGTCAATTAAACCTTATTATTGACACCATCCTGCTCAAAAAGAAAAAGCAAGGAACAATAAAATGAAAGCAAAGCATCTTTAGACCAGTGGCCAAATGGTAGGACTGACCTCACATTTAGGGTTATGAAAGAATGTGGACAAAACTGCTCCTTGATAAATTCTATAGTCCCAAGGCTATGTTTGCAACAATGTGCTAAGTTAACTCCCACCAAAGTAAACACCCATTCAACCTTTCAAAGGCAAAACCTCTGTCCCTTGTGTCCATTGACAGAAGCAAGGGACTCTTTTCAAACAAGAGAGGGCAAGGCAATGTCACCATAGTGGTAACTCCCTATTGTGCTGAAGTGTTCCAAAAATGAATACAATTAGGTGTAGTTAAAGGTGGGTTTACATTAGTCAGACAATGGTTGCTGGTCATAAAGTGAGATAGCTATTGACTGAAAGACTTAGGCTGTGTTGATTCACTTAGACTGATTAAACTCAAGTACAAGGGAATTTATGGGGGAGGGGGAGGATTTGGAGAAGGAGTTCTAATTTAACTTGTCAAGGAAGAAAAGTTGTCCAAGCTTCCA